CACACTCATTCGCAATTAAGATCTGATCTGTTATTTGTCGCCCTTGAATGAAAGCCCCCTGTGTTTCACTAATGATAGAAGGGAGGACTATTTTGATCCTCAATGAGAGCACTTTAGCCAGAATTTTATAGATGCTTGTCACCAGACTAATAGGCCTAAAATCTTTTGGGTGGTTGGCACCAATCTTCTTAGGATCAGGGCCAAAAAAGTGGCATTAATTCCAGGGCTTATAGTGTGATTGTCTGCAAATTCCTTAAAGACTTCAACTAAATCCTCTTTCACCACCTCCCAACAGTCTTGATAAAAGCCCATTGTAAAGCCATCTGAACCCGGAGCCTTGGGTCTATCCATTAGAAATAGATCCAAGGCTCCAGGTCCATTTGATTGGTTGGGAAATAGTGTGCAGACCTAAGGAGAGGGGAGGTTTGGGATAAGAAGAATTAGAACCTTCAACAGAGCTTTATTAGGAAAATGGCTGTGGAGGTTTGTGCAGGAGAGAGAAAAGGCTTTATAGAGGAGGGTGTGGTTGGGAAATATGAGGTGGTGAGGTTTGGGTAGGAATCGAAAAGTATCAAGGATCTATGGGGTAAGTATGTGGAAAGGTATTATGAGATTTATTCAGGACTTCAAGGGTTTGACCAAGTTTAAAGTGGGTAAAGGCTCAAGGATGAGGTTTTGGGAGGATGAATGGGCTGGAAATGGGAAAGTTTGTGAAATCTACCCAAGGATATATAGGCTGACTGAGCATCAGACTACTATTGACCAGTGATATAAGTTGAGGGGGGAGTAGCTGGTTTGGAGCCCAAAATTCAGAAAGTGGATAAGCGCATTCAGTCACTAAGTAAATTAGAACAATGCAATGCCTCTTCTACTTTAGAGGATGGTCTTTGGTGGAAAGAGTGCAAGGATGGAAGGTTATCGGTGAAGTCCTTTTATTTGGCATTGGTCGGAGACAATCAGGCTCTTGGTGATGTGAAAGGTGTGGGGGGGAATCCAATGCCCCCAAGAGTGGAGGCATTTGCTTGGCTGGTACCTCTTCACACCATCTTGACCACAGATCACTTGAAGAGAAGAGGATTCATCCTTCCAAGCTTCTTCTACAATGTGTAAAATGGATGAGGAGACAGTTTTCCATATTTTTTCTCCTGAAAAGTGGCAAATTTCATCTGGTAATTTTACTCTTTCCTTTTTGGAATGAGTATTTTTCAGCCATCATCTCTTGCAGAAATTTTCTCTACGTGGCTGAAAATTAGAGGAAGCAAGAAAGCCAGAATCATGTGGAGCTGCATGCCCTTGCAGTCTGCTAGTCATTGTGGGTAGAGATGAATAGAAGAGTATTTGAAAATAAATCTAAGAATATTGAGTTAACCCTAGCAGCTGTGGGAAAACTGGTAACAGATTGGGTGTTGGTCCTGCCAGAGTTCGACAAACTTAAAGTCTTATACGAACTGATTTGATAGGAAATTTCTGGGGTATTCTTGAATTACAGTTTGATCAGTTGCTTGTTAATTTGGTGCGTCTCCTTGACAACCAATTGGTTTATAACATCTTTTTTATTTTAATAAAAGTTTCTTTTTCCTTTATCCTTCAAAAAAATAGTGATTTTTTTCTTCTATTTCTTTGTCAATTTTTCTTTATTTCTTTCATATGCAGAACCTCACTTTATTCAGGCACATGCCTCACCTTGCACCTCATGCCTCACCTTGTACTTTAGTTGCACTTGTCACCTTTATAAAACTGGATCAAGTAAACCTTCTATCTATCTGCCAAATTGAAAGCCCTGTTCTACTGGGTAGAAAGATGAACGGTAGCTTGGCTAAGAGAGATGTAGAGGAAATTAAATTATATTGGTGATTGCCCTATGTTTATCTAAAAAAGTTGCCATTGGCCCTATGAACTGGCTGGGGGGGGGGGGCATTTGGTCTTGGGGTGTTGGTGTTGTTATTCTTTAGCTGTGTGGTATTTTTAAGTATTACTAATAAAATGTCTAAATGAACTTTTTTAGCAGTATCAAAATCAATGCATTTGTAAAAGATTTAAAGCAAAAAGTGAGCTTGAAATTAAAGTAATCAACTTGTGGCTTACCATATCAAGGATTTCTACTTCTCAGGTCTTGGAAGTAAATCAGTGTACAAATAAACACTAATGCAATTACTATGTGAAGTAGGTTGTAGTTAAGAATAAAGTCTTGAAAGGAACAAAACTTAATCATCTGCATGCTAATTCCAATTTTTAAGTTGCAAAGATGTTGGGCAAGTTATAGCAAAAGGAAATCTATGGCTTGGTAAACTGGAAGGACCAGTTTCTTGTGTACAGAACAGTGCTGCAAAACCTTTTACTGGTATTGCTGGCAGAGAAAGGTAGGGTAGGTGCAAAGCCATAAACTCATGGTTGTGAAGTGAAATTGATACTAGACCCCTTTAGTAATAAAAAGCTAGTCTAAAGACAAACCTTCTACTGGAGCATTTTCTGGAATGGCTGGTTGTACTCCTTCAATAGCAAGCCAGTGAGCCACTACAGCAGTATCAAGCGGTGCTTTTGGCAGAGGTGCATCAATCACCTATGTGCCAAATAATGATATGAGACTTTGAAAAGTCTTAAACAACAAAATAAAACAGTGTTTTTGGTACTACCAAGTAATTTCTTACATCTTTGAACTCCACATCCTTGTCATCAATGTAGAACAGATCTTTGTGTCCAACAGCTCTTTTGAACCGTAAAGGATCTCCAGAGGCAAACCCATAAATCGGCTATAAAAGTAAAAGAAATACACATAAGCAGATGAATCTAAAGATGATTATACCTCCATCAAAGATTTAAATAAAGAATCTAGCTTCGACTATAAAAAAAAGCACCATTCTGATATTAAGCCCTTGCAGGCTGACGCTAGCTGAGAATTCTCATCCTACCTCTACATTTCTTAAGCTAAGTGCACTGTCCACATCGTCCGCTGTCAAAGTAGTTCTCTTGGAGTGGCGCATACACTTGATAGCCTCCTGTGTTAAGAAAATTATAAACCGTCGTGAACTTCTTTGTAATCCTCTCCCACCTTTTTCTCGTAAGCTACTGTGCAAAAGTGTGCATAACTAAATGTGTGCTAGCAGAATTGCTGAAACTATGGAAACTAAACTTAACTAGAAACAACAAAGGTATGAACTTGAACCTGCATGATCTCGCGCACACGGTACTCGACATCGGGAGCAAGAGCGAGTGCGACATCAGGAGACAAGTTGTTAATCCCGATGCTCTGCGCAATTACTTCAATCGTCTCCTTCGGCACGATGCTCATCGTTGCTCTTCAGAGACTCTTCGTCAACAAAATTGTAATACAGTATATGCATTAGCGAAGATAAAATGATTGGCATGGCGGCAAATCCAATTCGGCCATGGCTACTTTCGCCTGATTGGAACTCTTCACAGAGAAAAATTACAATTTCTCATTTTTACTTCTTCAGCTTTTGGAGGGAAGTTCTGTGTAAAGGGGATCGATCATCAATGGTGAAGGTCGAAGCTGGAGAGCACTGTCGTCGGATTAGAGAGTTAGGGTTTCGAAAGGGCTCCCAGATCGCGTCTGAGAGATGTTTATTCGGATCGGGGTAAAAATGATCAAGCAACCCGATAAGTCAAGCGTAGGGGGCCGTTTGATAAAAGCTTTATGGTTGTGTGCTTTTTATTGGGCAAGTTTTTTAGGAGCCCATTTGGGAGGAGTTCGGATCTTGTCCCGACAAGCGCCCCAACATGAGATCGAATCTGCTCCTAACATCTAGCGCCTCACAAGCGCTTTACACGCATATTTATTAGGAATATCTTCCGTACGTATTGATTATTATTCACGGGAGATGTTTCCAACATAAAACTACAGCCGCACATTGACAGGTTATATGCTCTGTTGGGACACTTGTTATGATGCATTGTTGGGACCTGAACCACGTTGACTGAGTCACATGAGTATGGGACTGAGGTTGGTGTGATATGCACACGATCAGATCTTTACATAGCGCTCCTCACAACGCACCCCAGCGGAACATCTCCCGTGTAATTGTGTTCATGCTGAGGTTCCATGGTGGGATGGGGCTGTGAGATTGGCGTGAGGTGCATTCAGTAAGGAATAAATCCAGAATCCTATTTGGGAAGGCTTTAGGTTTAGGGAGTTTGGAAGAGGTCCCAACAATTAATCACAACGGCCTTTGTAATCATGCATTGGGAAACATCTCCCATCTCCCATGTCCGTTATTGAGACTATATCAGGTCTTGGCTTTAGGGCGATGGGTTATTAGGAAAAAGTCCCATATAGCCATAAATTATGTTTGGTGAAAATCTGAAAAGTCTAAGCCAACGCGCTAGGTTTTTTTCTGGTATTGGCACCCTTAATAGCTTCTCCTTTGTTCCCTTTTTCCCAAAGTATTGGTTGCGAGAGATTGAATTCCGCGTCAATAACGGAACAAACCAACTAACACACCAACGTCCTCTATTGGTTTCAGAATGCTAGACGAGTGACTAAAACATGAAACCATGTTTAGTAACTATCTAAAACTCAAATGCTTAACATGAGCAACCGACTGTGAAGGTAAAAAACCTGTCAAGAGTGCTTTTCAGTTACCCAAAATGTCTCCTCGCTTTTTGTTTGCTGATAAGATAGAGACATTACACCAGCCGGGGGAGAGCCCTTCCCGGTTCCCGCAACAACGAAATGAGTAACGAGGATAGGATCAGTAGGGAAGTAGTCTTGCATGAACGTTTCGAAACTAATGTCGACTCTTTGCTGCTAACCAATCTGCCGGATAATTTCCTTCTCGTGATAGATCTGTAAATCTTCGAAATAGGTCAACACAGTTCCAAGGAGGTAAATTAATATATATATATATATATATATATATATATATATATATATATATATATATATACTGATTAAGGATATATACCTATGGTAGTCAAGCTTCTAAGCTTTTGATTCGATCTTGAGCTTGAGCTCAAGTATCTAATTCGAATCAAGTTTGAGCCTGATAGTTTATAAGTGAACCCCGCAACACAGAGCCCCCTTCGCTAGTGCCTATGATAACTAATAATGAATTTCCTTACATTACATCATGATTAGAGGCATAGTTGAAACTCTGGGATCTTTTGCTAAAAGAATTATTTTACCTATATGATCTCTTACAATACAACCAAAAGCAGTCTTACCTCCTCCTTTAGGTTGATCTTTATTCCATTTTTATGGAGGGGGAGTCCATCTTATCCATGATTGAGTTTTTGAATCAAAGCCTCTATATTACCCCCATCAAGTAATCCTTAGCTTTTTTTTTAAACTATTTCTTGAGGTTGGCTACTTTTGTTCTTGAAATTTTTGTCATTGCGGTTTTTCCATAAAAACCATAACAAGCAACTTATTCTTTCCCATATCAGATGGTCTTGATTAGGGGTGATTCGAGCCAAGCTGAGTCGAATAGTACGAGATTTGAGCTCAGCTCGAGACTATTCTACAAGACTCGAGCTTGAGCTTGAGCTCGGTTTGAGCCAGAACATTGAGCTCGAGCTCGGCTCGGCTTGACTCAAGCTCAATTTTGAGAAAAAATATTTTATAAAAATAGAAATATATATATAAATATTTTTCTATTTGATATTTAAAAACTTAAGAATTATAATATTTTTATTATATATATTATTTTCTATAATTTTATTATATTATATATAAAAATATCAAATATATATATTCGAGCCGGCTCACGAGCCAAGCTCTAGTAGGCTCGAGCTTGGCTCGTTTAATAATTGAGCTAATAAATTGGGCTCGAGCTTGGTTGAAACCGAGTCGAGCCGAGCTCGAACAGCTCATGAAAAGCTCGACTTGTTGCCACTAGACCTATTCATGGGCCGAGTAGCCCGACGGGCCGACCCAACCCAATGTAACCTATTCTAATTTCTAAACCCTAGCCAAATAAATACCCTTTCTTATTCCTCTCTTCAGTCTTCATCCTCTCTCCTCACTCTCACTCTCAATAATCGGCACAAACCCAGACAGGCAGCCACCATTGTCAATCTCAGAGGCGACATGCGAGCTCAAGCACCGGTCGTCTCTCTCTCTCTCTCTCTCTCTCGCAGTTCTCATTCTTAGTTTCTCATTCATTGAGTCACTGTCGCATATTCTCATTTTCTCATGAACTGGCGCCACCAGTGAACTACAGCGGTGAGTTCGCTGTGTGTGTGTGTTCTATCTTCTCAATGTTTTTATTTTCACCAGTGAACACCAGCGCCACCAGTGAACTCCAACAAACTCAAGCGAACTTAGGATGCAATCTTCAATAAAAGTGAAAAAAAATCATTATTAGATTAGGCTTTGGGCTTTTTAAGAGGGTCGGGCTCGGGCTCGGGCTCAGGCTCAGGCCTGAAAAAAATTTGTTAATGAGGAGTGAAAGCCCGGCCCGAGCCCAGCCCATGAACAGGTCTAGTTGCCACCCCTAGTCTTGATATTCCACCTTGTTTTCCATTGGCAGCTTATCTATTATCAAGAGCCAAAGAAAAACTTCTATTTTTTTTTCCAAACATTTGAATTTCCACAAATTGTTTAGGAATTTCAAGACATTCAACAAATCTCTAATCACTTGGGTCTTTAGAGAGTTATATTCTTCTTTGAGAGGGAGCTTGCCCTTTCTTGAATTGCCCCAAATATGTTTATCTTCTTTTTCTGTCAGGGGAACATATACGAATGGCTCTTATTTTATCAACTATAACTTGTGGGATATTTTCATTTAGCTTATCAAAATTCCAAAAATTTTCATCACCATTATAAAATCGCTTACATTTATCTCCAAATCTAATGCTTCCTAATCTTTATCCCGGAGTTGCTCTTTAATGGGTCCTATTCCCACCCAGTTATCCATCCAAAATTTACACATATTGCTATTTCCTATACACTACATCATGCCTTTTTCTCACCTCATTTGAGAGCTAAGTTATTCTTTTCTATGCCCATTGGGCTTCTTTGGGAGGTTGGTGTTCTAAGAAATCTCTTCCTTTTGGATATTTCTCTTTCACCACTCTGACCTAGAGGTTTAACTCCTAATTGAGAACTTTTCAGCCCAACTTCATCATGTTTGCTTGGTTTATTATGGAGGTTTTTCTAATTCCAAGACCTCCCTTATTCTTCTTGTCCGTGTAAACACTGTCCCACTTAGTGAGGGCAAAAATTTTATTATTTTCTTTCTTTCCCCATAGAAATTGCCTTTGAAGTGTATCCATTTCCTTCTTCGGTTCTTTCGGAAATTTCAAGTAGCCCTTGGAATTGTGGGATGTTTCCAAATACAACCCTCAAAGTTTTTTTTTTTTTTGTGACAATTCTTGTTATAGTGGGAGCTCCTAGGTATTTCTCAACTTTATTTGCCATAGGAATCCTAATTTGCATTGACCTGAAGCATTTGCACACTCTACCAGGATTGCCTTAACTTCGTGTCCAACTTCTAGGTTGGCCTTGGAAAAGATAATCACCTGCAAATTGTAAGGTCGGGATTTTTGGATGCTATATATAATTCCTTAAATTTGCCCTTGGCTTCAATTTTAGTTTTTCAACTTGTCTTGTCAGGGCTTCATAACACAAACAAACAAATATGGGATAGGGGGTCTTCTTGCATTATTCCCTTACTCGGTTTAATAAAACTTGGAACTCACCGTAGTTATACACTGCTTTATCTGGTTTATCCATTTTGCATGGAAACTCAAATTTCTCATAACTGCCTCTAAGTATTCACAGCCAAGCTTGTTATATGCATTATTCATGTCTATTTTTGTATGCAACTAGCCTTGTTTTTTCTTTCTTTTTTCCCAGAGTGTGAAAAATTTTGTGTTAATAGAATATTGTTTGAAATTTGACTACCCAATACAAAGGTTGACTGATATGGAAAAATTAGATTCAATAAGATAGGTTTCAACATGTTGACTAGGATTTTAGCAATTACCTTGTATATGACATTACATAGACTGATGGCCTTCTATTGGTCTAAGTTTGTTGGACTCTTATGCTTTGGGATGAGAGAAATAAAGGTTTTGTTTAGTCCCTTTTGTCATTTTTTCTTTCCAGAGCGAAAGAAAGCTTTTTTATATTGTCCTTGACTGATTGCCTAATGAGTAATGATATATTAGTATTTTTCAAAGAAGCTTGCATTTAATCCACCAGGGCATGGAGCTTTCATATCCATCATAGAGTTGAGAGCTTCTCTCTCTCTCTTCCTCTGAAATTTATGGATTTAGCACATTGAGAAAAAGTGTCATAGTTTCTTGTACCTTCCTTTTTAAACCTTGCTCTGAAAGCTTCTGTCAGTTTCTTTTGTAAATCTTACTTTCAATGCAAACTAACAAGCCCTAAAAATATTTGGATTCTTATCCTTAATCTACCTCTGGCTATATTTCTAGATAATTAATTTTGATAAATTTAGTGATTTTAAGAAACAAATTTTAAATTGAATGCATGAAAAGTAGGATGATCATATGATGGGTCGGGTTGGGCTCTATGTCTACAAGGATCCATTTTATTTATATAGGGGTTTGGAATTAAAATCAGAATAGTCTATTCCAATTTCAACTGTTTGGTTGGTAGAATCAGAATCTCATTCACATTCTTAGTGGGATGACATTCTTCCATTTGAGGGA